TTCTCTTTGTCTTTTTATCTATATATGTATCTATATCATTATCTGTCTATCTCATTATCTTTCTATCTATCTGTCTATCATCTGTCCAACTATCTGTCTGTCTGTCTATCTATTTGTCTATCTATTTGTCTATCAATCTATTTATTAGTCACCTATCTACCTATTCATCTGTCTAGCTATGTACCTATTTATTTCGCTATCTATATATCTTTCCGTCTATCTATCTATCTATTTATCTATATATTTCTCTTTAAATATATCAGTCTATCCGTCTATTTGTCTATCTATCATTCTATCTATTGATTCATTTATCTATATATCCAAAACTCTATATATTTATCTTTAGTTTCTATTAGTTTACAATATTTCCAATATTTTTATTTTAATTACTGCAGAGTAAAGTCTACCCTACACTTTACTGAAGCATATGCCTAAAATTTCCCGGGGAAGCAACATAAATTCTGTTGAATAAAAATTAATGCGAAAATGTTATGCTTCACTACATTATTTTCCAAATTTTTTTTTCTACATTCTCGATTTTTTCCTTTCGTCAGAAAATGGTTGAAAGAAAAACAACCATATATATATCTATATATATATATATATATATATATATATATATATATATATATTTTCAATTATTTTATTTGAAAGCAAGAGAAACAACAGAATTGCATGAATTGTATAAATTGCATTTTTGTATCGAGTTTCTCTTATTTTCGTAAAAAGAAACTCAGATAGAAAAACTCAATAAACATACACAATCGCTCGGTTAGGCAAACCGATATAAAAGAAGCCAGAACTCTGTGTACAATTTATTGTATATATAGGCTTGATGTATCCACCTAACTACATATCGACCGAGCTGAGCAGCAAAGAGCAGAAAAATGATAAGAAAAAAATATTTAAATGAATTTCATCAAAAGTAACGAAAAAACGAAGACAACTTTTACTTTTGCATTAATATTTTTTCGAATTTATTTTTTAATAGACTTTCCTTTTTTTTGAGTGAACGCTTCAGATGACAATAACAAAACAATGAAAATGACAACATTATAACGAAATGAAATGGAATGAAGAGGTATTGGCCGACTTTTTAGAGCGCTACATACATAGGAAAGGAAATCCATGTTAATACATGGATTGATTTGATAATGCATACAAAGAAAGGAAAGAGAAAGGGACACAAAAGTGTGGCGAGAAAATTAAGATTAAAATTTTGGACACATATAGTAACTGTAAGTGAACGCAATATAAAATGTTATGAATAGCCTACGATACTAAGATAGATTAACAACAGTAAATAAGAGCAGTAGATGCATATGAATATTTGAATAGGAATATTTTATTTAAAAAAAAATATGTCTTCTCGTAAAAATAAGAGAACATTGGACTTATACTCTGAATCCATGAGTATAAGTGCACAGTAGATTTCTAGGACGCAGTGCTAAAATCCTTAAGTTAATAATAATTATACTCCAACAAATGGGATTATAACTTTAACCTTTTAGAGAATGCAACAAATGCTAACTAGAAAACTACAAATTACTGCCTCCTCCGATAACAAATAGCGGACAAAATAGATACTCAAACTATTAAGGCTTGATTGATACCGCACACACATACACACACAATTGCACGCATTTCACATCCAAATCAATCCTGAACAACTGAAATGCATAAAATTGTACAGTACGGCAAAGACAGTGCATGCAATGTGGCACTATGTTTTTATGTACAACAGCACAAATGTGGCAGCCTAAAGGTATGCTACGAAAAAGCAAATGCTGCAGTTACAGTGCGTTCTTTTACTTTTCGTTTTAAGAAAAAAATTATATATTTATATATGCAAAATAAGAATTAAAACACACAGAATAAAGTATTTTATATACCACTATATACATATATATACTAACTATACATATATATGAATATGTATATGTGTATGTATGCAACGTATAGAAACAACAGTTTGTTATGAAATTAAATTCACGCGCTTAATAAATTGTGCATAGCTTTGCGTCATAAGATTTTTTATAATTTTTATTTTTGGCGGTTAAGTTTTATGATATATACGAACACATACACAATCACACAAAGCCAACACATACATAGAAATATTTCTATATAAAAATATATATACATATGTATATATATAAAAGAATTAAAACGAAGATGTAAAATTTACACGAATTGGGGGCCGTGTATGCCTTCGTTTTTTCTCGTTTTTTGTCGTTGATTTTGTTTTTTGGCGCACATATTTTAAAAAAAATTTTTACTTTTCACACAATTTTTATTTTTTCAGGACATTAATGTTGGTATGTTTGTGTGTTTTTTAACATTTATATGTGTGCGTAAAAATATTACAAAATTCGTCAAGCGTTGCTAATGTAGAGTGTCTGCCACACTCTTCTCACCGCTATTGTTGTTGCTTTCTTTCAGTTGCTGTCGGTGTTGTTGTTGTGGTCTTTTTGGCAAGATTTTTTTCTTTTGATGGTGGACGAAAAAAAAAAACAAAAATTTTTATTTCATAAAAAGAATTTTCGTTTTTATCGTAAAGGAAATAAAAATAAAATTTATAATAAAAAATTATAATAAAAAATATAGTGAAGAGTTTGCCGTTTTGGTGTTAAAAAATGTATATGTCGCAAGGTAGCGTATTTGGTTAAAAGTAGAAAGCCTTTGTAGTTCTTATGAAAAGTACAGTTCTTCTCAATCTATTTAAAATTTTTTCCTACAAATAATATTTAAGGGAAAATGATGGCAGGGAATCATTCAATTAATTTTCGTGAAATTATTTAAAAATTCAGCCTAAATGAAAATATTCATATTCAAAGATTTTTGGTATTAATAGTAATATGAAGGGTTTTACTATGAATATATCACCTCATATTCACTAGATGTTCGTGGAGAGATTTGTCGAAGAATGTCAACATTGGTTGTACTAATGATAATAGTATGAACGGTAAAGGTTTTAAAAGATAAAAGTAAAATGAAAGGTAATAGTGTATATATATCGGTTCACGTTCAGGATCGGTGGAGGGATTTCTTGAAGTAGTCTAAGATTGGACGTCGGTAATAGTATAGATGATGATTATGAGTAGTAAGAAATCTAAAGATTATTGGTGATAATAGTAAAATGAAAGTTAATAGTATAAATGTATCGATTTGCAATCAGGACCAATGGAGAGATTTGTTGAAAAAGACTAAGGTCAGACATCGGCTATAGTGCCGATGATGGCGAATAATATTAACTGTAAAAGATTCTAAATATAATAGTAATAGCATAAGAAAGGTTATAGTATGAATATATCGGCTCACGATAGATACCGATGGAAAGATTAGTTGAAAAATATCGAAAGTAGGCATCGGTTGTTGATGATGATGAATAATATGAACTCTAAAATTTGTAGAAGATAATAAATTAACTCAGTCTCTATACAGAAAAATCTCAAGATCACAATTTACTTCAAAATATTAGTAAATGATTAGATTCCGGCAGACCGCTAAAATGCCATAGCTGTAAGCTATAGCTGTAAGTATGTATGTAATGTAATACATCAAATTTAAAATGAAGTAAAAGTAAAGCTAATAATGCTATACTATTAGTAAATAATAAATAGAGAATTATTCATTATTTAAGATTATTGAAGAAAAGAGATAACGTTCTTGTTTCCAAGTTCAGGTACTTTTCCCGGTTTTTGAAAGGATAAAATCTTTTTGCTAGGATAGAAGTAAAACGAATAAAATTATTTTGAATCAGTTCAAAATATATATTTCATTTTAAATACGTATAGTGTCATCGGATTGAAATTGATATAATTATTTGAATTTATTTATATGTCAAAGAGATTATAGTAGAAAGACTTACAGAACATTGGAGGCTGCATTAACATTTTAATAAACTAGAAATGGTGTCTAGTAGGGGTTCTATATTTTTTACCAAATATGAGTAAAGTATATATTACGTGATGGGAAGATCTCCAGCGTTGATGATCAAACAAACAAACAAAGGCTCGGCCAATGTTTCAAAGTTTATTGAATTTTTCCTCAGATACCATAGTATTATTGTTTGAGGCCCTATGCTCCACTTAGGAGAGAAAAACAGCAGTAAATAAGTAAGTAAGTTTTATTGTTATAACTAATATTTATTACATAAAACAGAATATGATAAAGTTTGATTTTTTAGATATTTTATATTAAGAAATAAAGATATAAAATAAATATAAAAATAAATTGATTATATATATATATACAAATAAATGTAAATAAATAACAGTCATTTAATTTTGTCTTAAAATATATATGTATATATAGTTTTATATATAAATATAATAAAATATAAAATAAATATAAAGATATGATATGATATATATATATATATATTATTACACAATTATGTTTTATAAATATTCTAAACATTTATTTTATTTTATGTGTATATAATATAATATTTAATAATAATATTTAAATACTTATGTCATGTATTTGAATTACTTAAAAATCAATTTTTTTTTATTAATTTTTTTTACTCTGAACTTTGCACTTTTGTAATCTTACAAATTAGAAAGGAATTTTTAATAATAAACCAAAAATATTTAATAATTTTTATATTTTTGAGGAATTTGTTTGCCTAAATTTAAATTGAATGCATGCACGATACTAGAAAAATTTATTTAATAGAATTTATTTTTCTTTCTCATATCCTTTTTTTCCTTTTTTGTTCACATAAAGAGAAACTAAAAAATATTGCATAAAATTGGTAAAAATACATATTAAAAAAGGTAATCTAATAAAGAATTTAAAAAAAATCAAAAACAAAAAAAAAAAAAATAAATAACGATATTATTGAGGACACGGAAACATGCGACGTTTACAAAATGAAAGAGCAAAAAAATATGGAGGCCATATCGAAAATTATAGAGTGAAGCTCCGGTATTGAATTTTATTGTACAAACATGCAACATTGGCAAACGAAAAACGAAACGACAAATGTCAACCTAAAATGTAAGCAATTTCGGAAATACGATATTTTGCATAAACTAAAAATATATTTCGAAATAGTGAATATCTTAATCATTAATTAAAGTTTAAAATTATATAGAAAATTGGACATTTAAAGCGAGTTTGAGGCTCAAAAATCACGTAACTTAAACACTGAAAGGTGACGAAATAGAAAACTTAATTGAGTCATAAAATTTATCATTAAAGAAAAAAAAATATAAATAAATACGTATATATTTAATTCATAGACAAAGAACACGACGAAGAGCAAAAAATAACGTATCATTATGTATATTAAAAATACATATAGAAATCAGGAATAAAAAGTAGAAAAAGAAAAACGCTAAGTAGTGCAAAACTTGGACTTACCGATTCGTGCGAGGCGCGATAGTCGAGTTCGCCACCACCCAAACCACCGCCAGCCGAAGCTGAGCGTGGATGTCGACTGTTGCTATTATCGTCTTCGCTGATATCAATTTCCTTTTTCAGTGACTGTAAGAAAGAGATGGAGAAATTTATTTTATAATACAAAAAACAAAAAGAAAAAGAAAATATACATCCTATGAGACTAGTTCTATAATAATACCTAATGCAGCGACATCTATGAGTAATTGATGGTAGGTGAATCGTGTACATTTCATCTACTAACTAACAAAATTTGAGCGAAATTTGCAGTGACTCCCGATTTTGTGTACGTCCCTCAATATAACAACATGGAATAAGGAGAGATAATTAAGTTCTTTTTTATATTGTAGAATAGTGTTACAGTGCTTTCTGTATACGAGAAAGCATGCCTTTTTACATAGATTTTGCGTTAGTTTGTTCGATTCTATAAAGGTTGTGAAGTTCTTTAGTACTAACAATGAGTACTAGATAAGTTCTTGAGTACTAGGTATTAAAACTTACTAGCAATAAAGAAAACAACGAGTAAGTACAACAAATTCTTAAGAAAACGATTGTTGAATGTTTGTGTGACTGATCGAATTGGGATCTGAAGTACATGATCTGAAGTAGAAAAGCAGCTTATCAGCCTAACAAACCTTGAACTAAGATTTAAGCAAATAGAAGAATTGTACCCGCCTTATATATCAACTTTGACTATTGACAATGGAAATTTTAGCACAGCAATGATATGTTGAAATTGTGCCGAAGGAAGAGAGACTTATCGAATAAGAAACTGGAATGCCGAAAACCATCGTCCATCGAAACTTAATCTAAGATATGAGGAAATAGAAGGACTGTACTTGCTCTAAGTGACAATTCTGATGGTTGATGCTGGACAGAATGATATGCTAAACTTGTGCCGAAGAAAGAGAGACTCATTGAATAATTGAGTCTCTCTTGTGTCGATAAACACCGCCCATTGAAACCTGACCTAAGATTTAAAGAAGTAGAATGACGGAAAATTGGCGATGTATAAAAAATTGTCTAAAAAATTTGTTAAACATTTTCTGCACCATCTCTATTCCGTTCTTCGGAAACCATTTTGTTTAAACAAAAATTAACAATCAAAATAATAAACGTTTTTTTTTTATTTTAAAGGCTAGTCTCATCGGATGGAGATCAGATAGTCTATATGTTATATCTTCATAATGAATTATTAAAAATATCACTTACCAGCGGCACCGATTGCACAGGCCCGAGCCCAGAAGTGCCAGGCAGCGTTTCACTGCCTAAGCCAGACGCACTTGCCGCAGATGGACTTAGGCCGCCGGCAATTGAGATAGCCGTTGCAGTTGGTAGACCGCACATGCCACTACTGCTTGGACGTTCCAGTGTGGAGGTATGCGCGCTACTACTAACACTGACGGCACCATCACGTGAACTGCGCGATGCCGGACGTTGTGTTAGATCTGAGGGCAAGTTAGCTGTATTCATTGTAGCGGCAGGTGTTGAACGTGCAGATTCTGGCTCAGCCACACCTGCATTACCAATGCCGCCAAGTGGTGATGGTACAACAGCTGCAGTGCTAGCATGACAACTACCAATTTTCATATTTAAGCCTACTTCATTCGAACTATTATCAGCGTCCTCTTCTAAGTCCATATCCTCATCATAATCATCGACATCTTCAATTTTTGTTAATGCTACACCAATATCCGCTTCATCCTGCAAACTACAGGTGGCCGAACGTGTGGGTGAACTTAAAAACTCACGCTCATCGCCATTATTATAGGCGTTACTGGTCCCACTACCATGTGGCGTATTACTGCGATGTTGTTGCTGGTTATTATTGTTGTTGTTGCTGCTAGTGCAACTGTTACTAACATTGTTCGTTTCATTTGCGCGCGCTCTATCACCACTTATAACGCTTATACTACCGCTGCCGCTCTCCTCAATCGTATCGATACGTCCTTGATATAAATCTAACGGTTGCGGTTGTCTGTCGTGTTCGAGTGCTGCAGTTGCTGTTGTTGTTGTTGCGGTTTGTAGACGTTTTGGTGGTGAAGGACTGCAGCGTTCGATTGCTTCACGTTTGTGCGCGCTACTGTGTATGGCATTTGCTAGTGTTGCGGTATTTGTATTAGCTGAATTTGTGGTGGCGGTATGTGTTGCGCTCGTTAGGCAAGCATTTGTTGCAGTTGATGTAGAGGGTCCAGTTAATGCTGCATCGACAGGACTGTCACAAGTACTTTTGCTAGGCTGTGAGTGTGGTCTGAGGCGATCTGGTTCGCGTTCTGGTTCTCGTAATGTTGTATTCTGATTTGTCATTTCTGCTAAACCCTTCACCTGCAAAGTAGAATAATAAGTAAGTTTAGTAAGTTTTTGAATATATGGTAAAGTAAAGTCATAAATTTTGTATGAGAAGTAGAAGGTGGGTTACTTACTTTTAACGATTCGGCCGTTTTAAGTAAAGCCGAAAGCTGACAATATTGCACGTTAACCTCGCCTTTATACATGAATTCAACTAAAGTTTGCAGCTCGGCAAAACGGACGTCCTTTAATATCACAATTGGATGTCTTTCGGGGTGGTCCTGAAATATGCTCTGAAAATATGAGGAACAGGCCGAGAGGACCACCTGCAAATATTAAATAAATAAATCACATATTAGTAGGCAAATAGTAAATATTGAATATTATTGCTGCAAGTGCATAATAACAAATTGATAACAACTAAATTATAGTTATAAAAACAAATTAAAAACAATTTCATGTCAAGAGTTCAATACGGTGAAGGCGGCCAGTGATATTGTCGGGTCAGGCCACGAACGGCACGAACACATATATTATTTAGCGAAGCGATTTATGTCAATTGCCCGACGGCATATCGTAGACTTCATCAGTGTGGCATAAATACGATTTCTGCTATGGCTATTATAGCTATAAATTCCTTTAATAACAGACGTAGCTATGCAGTGGAGAGGTGGTGTTGTAGACACAATCAACACCAAACCGTATAATAACAGCGAACCGCTTCAGCGATTTATAATATTTTGGCTTCGATTTAAAATATAGTGTAGTTCAGCGTGAAACCGAGAGAAAATAAAATAAAATTAATTTAAAAAAAGAAAATTGAAAAAAAAAAACAAAAAAAAAGAAAAAAGAAACGAAACACGTCAAGGAGTGTTGAGTGTTACTGGCGAAATATGTTGTGTGATATGCGATTGAAAAAGTGGTTAGATTTACGATTTCGCCGTGAAGTTCTTATAAAAGAGACACACATACACACGGCGTACGGCGTAAAGCTTATGGCGCATGGCGCACACAATAGCAAGCGCAGCCAATGGCGTAGTAGCATTGAAGGCGTCAACACAGTGCGGCCAGCTTGCCACAAATTATTCAATGCAATTGAAAGGAATGGAAATGTGTGTTGCCGCAACACAACACAACGAATGCAACAGATAGCAAACAATATTGCACTAATTTTCGATATAGAAATGAAAGACAAAAAAAAATTAGTAAAAAAAAGTAGTAAAAAAATTAGTAAAAAAAGTAGTAAAAAAGGTAGTAAAAAAGTAACAAAAAAATAGTAAAAAAAAGGTAGTAAAAAAATCGCTTTTAGGCATTACATGCATTTCGGCCGCACTTTACGTTTTTATCTTCATAACTTATGCAATATTTTATTATATTTTTATTTTTTATTTGATATTTTTTATGTTTTTGGTAACGCTTAACTTGTTTAAATGTTGCCAATTGCTGTCGATTTTTATGTGCGCATGCGCAACGCATACTCCAGAAAACAACGCACACATGTAATAAACGCCTGAGGATATGCAATGATATGCGGTAATGTGCAGGTAAAGTGCTATAGTCCTAGCCCAATAATCCATTCCGTGCTTGGGTGTACGGTGAAAATTTGTTTTTGCGTTAGAATGCGTTACGGTTTATTTATTTACCACAAATTTGCATTGTGCGCGGGCGCAATGTTGCTAACAACAAAATTGCGCCGTGTAAATTGCAAAAAATAGAGAAAAAAAATCAATATATGTTCACTAATTTATTTCGAAATATTTGCGTGTGTATATCGTAAAGTATCCCAGGATAATTTCAATTATTTTGCAGCATAAATGGGGCAAAAATGTACAAATTGAAAATTATTGAAATCAATTGAAAGCGCATGAATTATGCGATTGCGCGCCGCACTTAAAGCCTTAAATACGATTTAATGCAGTTGTCCAGCACATTGCGACGTGGAAAAGTGCAGTGTAGAGAGAGAGAGAGGAAGTGTTGGAATATATATTGCAACTATAAATTGTATTTACAAATTAAAACTATAAATTTAGTCAGTACCTAAATTTTGTTTGTTAATGGTTCGGTCGGTCTGTGGATATCGTAAATGCTTATTTACTTAATGGAAAAACTTGAACTTTTTTTTTCTTTAATATGGGTTTGCATATGCTCGAGTGGGAAGGTTTGTGGAATGGTTTATGTGGTGATTACTTATGACAATATTCAAGCGTTAACAGCATATTTGAAAATGGAAAATAAAGTTTAAATTAGGTACACGATTTTGATGGTTTGGTAATGGCGTAAATTGAAAATTAGTGCAGTAAATGTGGTAATTGAAAATGTTATTGACTTAATAAGGAAGTCAACTTAAGAGCCGATATATAATGTTACCTGTTTTAATTATTTTTTAATTAATATATCAAATGTTTTATTACAAATAAGGGACCAACAATTAATTAAAAAGTCGTAATAGTATTTAAATTATTATTGTTATTACAGAGAGTCACTTATGGTAGATCCATTAGTTCATTTAGTTCAATAAATATTGCTTAACTGTATCAAGATCCTGATAAATTGTAAACAAAGTTATCATTCAAGGCATCATATATTTTATTTAAGATCTGTCACTTTACACAATAAACCACTGTTTAATCTAGCATTTGGCATGGGGATCCTACCATACTTTTTCAAAAATAATAAACGTACGACACATGAAGTCAATCGATTATAGTCAATATGGTTGTTGAGGACATGTGCTTTTAACAGCATGCTGCTACAAGTCATAATCCACTGTACTGTTTTGGATTTATTATGTGAGGAGTTATATAGACGATGTCGTGTTTGTGGTATTACATAAAAATAACAATCTCTAGTGCTCCGGCCAGAAAGGTGTTTGATTCAGATTCAGATTTGGGGGCGCTGAACTGAACGGGCTGGCTGACAGAGGCTACTCGGGTTATTATAGGGTTATAGGTCCATCTCACTAAATTAGTAAAAGAAGAGTATGATGATGAAAAATAATAGTAATGGGTTAAAAAAAATGTTTCTAATATTCATGCATTATGCCGACCGGAGTAATAAATAAAAATAAATATCGCGTCAAGTTTTAAGGCCAAAGCAAGAAGAAAAGATAGACAGATGTTAACGATTGGAAATTAGAGTAAGGAAATAAATCTACAAAATTATAGACAACTAATCGATAAACGAGGTGTCTTGGAACGAATAGCAAGGGAAGCTTTGATCTGCTAACGATGTTATACTTAATATGTTGCTTTTTTCTATAGAAACATACAAGTTTCATAGTGAATTTGTGTGATTTTGATAAAAAAAAAGTAGGTTACCTGCTTAAGAGGACTTTTATAGGAAAAGGTTATACGATAGAAGAAATATTCTGTTTCAAAAAAAAGGTATTTTGCAAAAATGATCGAAAATTATACAAAATCACCATATAGATTACCGCTGCAGAGTATTTTAGAGTGCTATCCTTTTTAAGATACTCTAAGAAGAAAATCAACTACTTACTGGATCTGAATAGATCAGATCTAATAGATAAATAAATGATAGTAACGATGACTAGTGATTACTTTTTGAATAAGGTAGAGTACGATTATAAGTACCATAAACTGAAAAATGTTGACTATACATAAAATATAGAGAAACATTCCCACATATTCTTGACAAATGCCTAGCTCTTGTACACTACAGCACAAGAACACTTTAATCAAACATTGATATGGTACAGATTAACAATCTTCTGAGTGTAGTTGTAACTGTAGACTATAAGACAAGAACTCTTTAATCAAACATTGATATGTAACAGATTGACAATGTTTTGGATGCAGTTGTAATTAAGTTTAAACTTAAGCTATTTGGATGTGTTGTTATATTAGGGCCTTTAAGACCTACCATCTTGATGTACATTGTAAACATTAACTGAATTTCCAATCCACATAATTTTTTTTTATTTCTTAGATTATAGAATCAACTTCCGTTCTTTTCTTTTATTTATTTTGAATTATTGTTACAAGGTACAGTTTTACAATTCACATTTGGGCTGAGTATTACTTAAGTGTTTAATGTTGGCCAGTAAAGTGAGCTATAGTATTTAAACATAATTGACACTTAAGTGTTTATAGTAAAAATGGCACCAAAGCTTGGTTAGTGTATTTGTAGTAATTTAATTAATTTGATATATAAAAAATTTATTATATCAACTGTTAGATTTGAACTTTTGTAAATAAAATGTTTTTAATTAGATGTGAATGTAAATATTACGTTATTTACTTGACAACCAGTACTCGACCAGTACTTATTTCTATGAACAAACGATCTCTACAGTACTTTAGACAATTCAATTAAAAATAAATTTTTTTTTAATTTAATTCATTTGAAAATATTAACACATCCTCAATTAATTTTGAACAGTTTTAATTTCATCATTAAAGTAAATACAAAAATAACTATTTGCTGTTAAACACCAGTTATATAACTTATAACTTCCCCCCGATCACTTCCTATACTGCTCCAATAAGCCAATAAGCCAATAAGCCGATCAGCCAATCAGCCATTTGGCTTACTTTTACTTCTTTGTGGTATTAATTACTTGTAATTACTTTTAAATCCATTTAACAATTGATTTATCTGATATCTTTAGCATTTTCACCTCAAATGCAATGAGTACGTTTTTTGTACCCGTGAGCGGTGATAGCCGGAGTAAGCCGTAAAGCATATCTGGCGTATGCGTGGCAGCGAGCGAATACGATTTCGTTGTGGTTAAGTGGTGATAAGCTGCACAATTTAGAAGCTTTAAAAAGTGCTGGTCTTAGGAGCGGGATGGTAGGAGCGGAAATCCAAACTAAATTGAGTACTCCTTATTCATTTACATTTCGCCCAATAGCAAGAAAACCAAAGTAGAAAACTTAATTTAAATGAAGTCGAATCTTCCAACTGTTGCCAGTGTTGTCAGTTGGCAAGAATTGGCAAGAATTGGCAAGAGTTGGCAAGAGTTGCCAGAGTTGCAATTTAGCTTCTGCTTGCCTGTCGGACTTTTCGCTTGAATGCCGGAGTGCCGGAATGGCTGAATGTCGGTTTGCCTGAATGCCATTGTGCGCATGCGCACACAATTTTAATTTGATGACGATTTTACGATTTTATGAGTAGAAATGAAAATTGTAACGCCTCCAGACACGCAACGCAGATGAGTTTTCACATATGCAATCGCAATATTATT